TCCTCCATACTGGCTAGCATTCATAGTGCTGGATAGTGTTATGCAGATTGCTGTGGAGGAAAAATTCATCAATAGTCTTACCCAGCTATGGACCCTGTGTACCACCATTCTGACCAGCCAGGCAAACCATACCCATGGATGCAATAGTGGCATTAGTGTTCTGGTGGCAATCATTACTGATTGTATTGAGGGAAAATATATATCCGATACTATAAACCTTAGATCAATAGCTCCTAAGCTGTAAAGAGGAATCTACTACTAAATATTTTGCTAAAGGGGTGTGCAGTCAAACTAACTTCTAAATATTTGCATTTATGCCTATGGACTAGGGTTGTTCTCAGCCTTGATCAGAAAAGCCTTTAAAAAAATAGTGTACAATAGTTAAAGCAGAGAGTCATAATTTGTAGAAATGTTGACAGTAACCAACAGAACATCTATACCACCATCCCCTCCAAGGCCCAGGAAACATTGTAGTAGAGGAGCTGGGAAGACTGCAAAGCAGAGCCTGAGGAATGTCATGAAAAATGATCTTCTGGAAATGACATGGAGAGGTACTACATGAGTACACAGTAGCACTGAGCATATGCAAAAACCTTGTGCACATACATGCTGAAAAATGTAAAAGTGGGAGAAAGACTAGTTGGAAAGAAGGAGGTTAGTAGACGTTGGGGGAATAAGAGAGAGTAATGAGGGTCGGTATGATCATAATACATGATACAAATAAGAAGTCATAAAAAATTCAAAATTCAAAATGTTCAACATTCTTAGCCATTAGTAAAGTACATTAAAACCACATTAAGATTCTTCCCTACTTGACTCAGAATGTCTATCATAAAAAAAAAGTTCTGGTGAGGATATGGATAAAAGGAAACACTTATAAAAAGAAACATTTCTGTTGGCAGGAATGTAAATTAGTCTAGCCTTTAAGGAATTCTATACTGATGTCCCTCAAAAACTGAAAATAGAACTCCTGCCTACATGAGCTAGCTATACCCATCCAGTGTAGACAAGCAGAGGACACCAAGGAAGCATCTGCAACAACTGCGCATTCATATGCGTTACAGCACTGTCAACTACAGTGAAGTTATGGAGTCAACGTTGGGAAAATGGCTCACCCAGGAAAGCCCTTGACTCGCAACTCTGTGGGTCTGAGTTCAGAGCCTCAGAGTACATAAGAATCCAGGTATGGAGATTCCCAGACTTGGAAAGGTGAAGGCAGCCTTGTAGCTTTCCAGCTAGCCTAGTCTACTTGATGAAGTTCCAGGTCAATGAGAGATCCCGCCTCAAACAACAAATGGAAGGTGCGGGAGGAATGACACCTGAGGCTGTCCTTTAAAGTCCACACACAGGCATGCACATGTGCATATGTGCACCCACATACAGATAGGAACAAATATGGAATTAGTCTGCGTATGAACCACAGATTGATGAATAAAGAAAATGTGGTGTGCATACATACATATATATGTATATATACATACACACATATATACACATATATATACACACACATATATATATCTGTGTACATGCACACACACACACAGATGGAGTTTTATTTAGTCATGAAAAAGAAAGAAAGAATTCCATTCACCCAAAACTGGTGAAACTGGAGATCATCCTATTAAGAAAAACTAAATTGCATGCATAAGGATAATGCTACATTTTTTCCTCATTAGTAGAAATCTTTGTAGGTATATACCCCCCCGCGCATTCATATTTGCATGAAAATAGAAGAATCTAGAAGAAGAGAGTAAACTATCAGAGGAAGAAAGAGAAAGGGTAAATAAAGTGAGGAAATGTGAGGAAGTTCATATAAGTTAATATAGTCAAATTATATTATGTACTTGAAAGAATCGGTCTTATGAAGTATAACAGTATGTCCAATAGTATATGTCAGTGAACACTGGAGGAAATGGGAGATGGCTCAACAGGTAAAAGTGCTGGTAGCTAAGATGACGGCCTAAGTTTGAAAGAGAGAAATTATTTCTGTATATTGTTCTCTGAACTCCACACATATGATGTATGATATGTAGACATTAACCCCCGTGCAATACACATATGCACGCATACACATGCAAACTCCTACACACACACACACTAAATAAATGTAACTTTAAAAAAATTTGGGGAAGGAAGTCTCAGTCTGGTCTCTATCAAGCTATGCAGCTAAGGATTGCCTTGAATTGCTGCCTTTACTTGCTAAGTGCTAGGATTACACCGATGTACCATCATGATCAACAATAAATTAGAAAAAAAAAAAGAAAACAGAGGATGGAGCCACTGGAAAATGATTATGTCCTTCTGAATAGGGTTAGTGTTAGAGGAAGAGAGACCTTCCCCTCAGGAACTTCCCAGGGTACTTCATGTGAAGGCACAGTGAAAAGAGGTCTCTATGAACTGGAAACAGACCCCTATGAGACACTAAATTGGCTGCCACCTTGATCTCTAGGGTTTCTCAGCCATCGCTATGCTTTAAGGCTCAGAAGGAAAAAGAAAGAAAACAAACAACAAAACAAATCAATGATCCATATGTAGCCAATGAACATACTTTGCTAAACCTTGCAGTGTATTCTTGAACTTGGTTTTTCTCTTGGTTCTTAGCCATCATGCTAATCAGCATATGAACTTTCACTATCATAAGGCCTCACCCCAAGCTATGGGATTAGTGCCCAGGCCACACTAGAAAGTGAAAATGTAGGCAAAGCTCACCATGTCCCCAAAGGGAAGTTTTCAACCTCCCTATGAAACCCACTTCTCTCACCATAGCCCCTGTGGTGGTGCCAGACAACACTCTTCTGTTCTTCTAGCCACTGAAGTAAGACATCCAGTAGAAGCTCTGCCTTAGCTCACTTTTCATGTGTTACGGTGATTAACAAATTCCATTGATTATCTCCCCCAAACAGTTCCATCGGCCTCTTTTTCCTTTCCTCATCTACTGTTTTGGGCCCAAAGTCTTCTTTAAGTTTAGTTTTAATTTGTGTGTGTGTGTGTGTGTGTGTGTGTGTATACATACCACGTGTGCAGGTGTTCACAGATCAGAAGAGACTGTCAGAGCCCCCAGGAGATAGTTACAGGTGGGTAGTGGGTACTGAGCGCCAGGAACCAAATTCTTGAAGAGCAACAAGCACCCCAGCTCTCTAACCCACAACGCCCAAACTCTTGCTACCACAGTATTAATCAAGAGATTAGCCTTGTGATACCTTCCAACAAGACAGGTTTCTTGCATCTCCTCAAAAATGCTATAGAGTTTTATATATATATATATATATCGTCAACATTACATAATTCCCTTTACCTAGAATTTCTTCTCTCAGAATACCTACTTAACACCTGTTACCTTCTTAGTAAATTAGTATTCAGCTCATCTCAGACTCTCTTCTACATTTAATCGTTTCTTCCCAAAGCAACTTGATTTAAACAAACTAGACACAATGATCTCAAAATATATGTTATAAGATCCTCAAATCCATGCTTAATGGAAATCTTAAGTATTCATGTCAGAACTTTGGGGCTAAAGAACTTTTAGCTAAAATATACTAACTCTATTCTGTATTTCATTACATTATTACTTTGGTAACAACAACCTTTATCTTAATCTGAAAAGGACCAACAAAGCTCTTGTCACTTTGGGAACAAAATTGCATGTATAACCATACATTAAAAACACAAAGTAACCATAGAAAACCTCTTGTTCCCGTGCAGTAGTGTACACCGAATGTAAATCAAAACCAGGCCTCAGCAAAATTCTAATCTCTTCATGTACTAGACCTTTGGAAATCATTAAAGGGAAGAGTATGAAATACATAAATGTGCATAATAATAAAAGTATGGTTCGTTCTTGTGTCAACAACAACAACCTGTTGCCTTAGTGAGAACATGAGCTTTTTGGTGAGAGTTCCCTGTTTTGCCATTCTTTATTTATTCTAAATTTGACCTAACAGAAAGCATCTATTCCAAAAATATTTGTTGAATGAAACTGCCTCCTGATTGGTCTCCTTGCCCTCAGGCCATCTTCCTTTCTGAAATCCTGCGTATTGTTTTACAGAAATATCAGTGTGACATCACTCCATGGCCCTCAAACCTTAGCTGACTGTTCACCATCTGCTCTACATAATAGTGTTTCCAGTCTCTGACAAGGCACAAAAGAGCCTTCACATCCTGGCTCCAGACTGTATTTTCAGTCTCTTCAAGGTACACCAGCTGTTCTTGGAAAATTTTAGAATTGTCATTATGCTATGCCTTTTCAAACACGTTTCTGGTCTGAAAGGTCATCCATCCTCTTCTGCCTGAAAGGCTTTTATTAATAACGCTTAAACATTTATGGCTGTCCCTGAGCCCAGAATCATTATGGTCCTGGCTTGGTTTCTGCACCCTTCTGTTTGTTCTGAAAATATACTAAGCTAATTCTGTGGGGAGGACAGAGAGGGAGGAAGAAATGCCCTGTCAAGGGACTTACCCCAGCAGGGACTGCGGCACTATGTGTTAAGCATACTGTTCAAGCAGCAGTGAGAGGATGGGGATAGATGATCTTTAATTCAGGATGTGCTACTGTAGTGTGAACATCTTTCACATGGTGCTTGTGTACTTGTGTGTGTGTGTGGGGGGGGGGGTTGGGACAGCAGAGAAAAGGAGAGACAGGGAAAGGAAGAGAGGGCAAAACGGAATTGAAGAGAAGGTAGACGCAGTGCAGTAAGGGCAGATGGGCGGACCCACATTTCTTGGGCTTTACAGTTTTGCAGAGGTCCACCCTTGCAAGTGGAGAGCATGGGGCAGGGTTGGGGGGTGGGGTGGGCAGAGCTGGAGGAACTGTGAGCCCCACAGGCCTGGACAGCCAGGAGACCACCTTCTTCCCCACCAGGGCGGGTTCCTCAAGCTGTGATACACGCCCACTGTGCAAGGCGGAGCCAGCCCTACAGGTGGCAGCGGGTGGGAGAGGGTTCCCGCCAGGCTAGGCAGTGGAGCGCCGCACAGCGCGCCTTCCCGCCTCCCAACTGCCACCTAAGCAGTTCCCGGCCGGCGCCAGCAGGCCTGCTTGGTCGATCTTCGAGTAGAGGATGCGGCGGGGCTGGAAAATGGCTCTGTCTGGGGGGCTGCGGTGCTGCCGCCGGGTACTGTCCTGGGTGCCAGTGCTCGTTATTGTCCTCGTCGTTCTCTGGTCCTACTATGCCTACGTCTTTGAACTCTGCCTGGGTAAGTGGGGCTGGGCACATAAAGTGGGGAAATTTTGCTCCAGCATAATCGTCTGCCATATCCTTCCCACTGATGTTCCCAGTGCACTCAGCCCTGACTCTGTGGGCTTTCCTTTTGCGCCTGGAAAAAAAAACAAAAAACAAAAAACAAAAACAAACCTCTCAGTTTCCAACCTTGGGCTTCTCACAATAGTTCCCTTGAGCCGTCCCAGGAGGGTCCCACCACATTGCTGTCGCTTCTCCTCTGGGTTTTCTTATTTCTTTGCGGTATCCTCGATAATTTCCTGGCTCTTCCTACTAAACTCCACCCCCACCCCGCCTGTTACAAGGTAAACCACCTAGGCTGAGCCCAACCAACCAGTTGAGGAAGCACCATACCCTGTGTCCTTAAAGTGTCTGCTCCAACAAAGCATCCAACTAAGTGCCCCACCATTTTCCCCGCCTACTAGGATTCTTTCCATACTGGGGGATTCCTTACTAGGAATAAATAATAATAATAATAATAATAATAATAATAATAATAATTCCTGTACCCTCATATTAGCTTACCTTTTCTCCACACTGAGATCTATACTTTCTGCAGTTCTCACACACAGGGTGTCATAGTTTTCACATCTCCACCCACTTAGGATTCTCCCACATCAGAACGTTCTATCTCACTTTTCACACATTCTGTTCCATCTCACTTTTCACACATTCTGTTCCATCTCACTTTTCACACAGTGATAAGCCCTCCATCCTTTCCTTGAGATCCAGGAGTGTGAGTGTGTGTGTGTGTGTGTGTGTGTGTGTGTGTGTGTGTGTGTGTTCATGCACAAGCCGCACACACATGGGGCGTGAGTGGAAGAGGGAGGGGGGAAGAAGAAAGGGAGGGACGGAGAGAGAGAGGGAGGCTTCATATATTCTCTTTCTTATGACTCTCACGTTTCACACAATGAGAGTAGCCTTCCCCTTTCTTTCCCTGCAGGCTTTCCTCCTTTTCTGAACTCTTGAAGTGGTGTGGGGGTTCTATACAACACTCTTTTCATATGAGAAGTCCTAATTGTACCACACTGGAGTGCCCTCCAGCCTCTTCCTTTTTCACTTTGTAAAGCATTCAACTCCTTCCCATTACAGGACCCACACTATTTCTGACACATCACACTAGTGACCCTGCTTTGTCAAGTTATGATCATGTCTCACCCACTGTAATCTCATACTAGAATGTTCTCTTTACACTTCAAAGAGTTCCCACAATCTTTCCCATATCCCTTTTTCTAATCCTGACTTATCCCTGTTATCTTTTCTGAGAAACACTCTCCAACCCTTCCAGTCTTTTCCCACTGTTCCACATTCTGTCACTATCTATCTCCAGTGCTCATCATTGTTTCCTCTAGGAGTGTGCTTACCCCCTGCTTTCTCAAGGCTGGGAAATCCAGTTCTTTCTTGTTGAAGTTTGTAATGCTTTCTCTCCTTTTCAATGAGAATGACATTTCTAGCTTATTTCTTCTTAAGCCTCCTCTTTAATGAGGCTGGTCTTTTCTTAGGCCCTGTCCTGTCACAGGAATCACTGTAGTCTCTCCTTATTTACAGCCTGATTCACTTTGTATATCCTGTGCTTTCAAACTCATAATTTACAGTATCTCACAACACAAAACCCAAGACCTTTCCTTTTATTTCCCCCCCCCCCCCACTTAGATTTCCTTGCCTTCAGTCCCCTCTCTATTATATGTGATCTTCTAACATTCTCATAAACTCAAATTAGTTTTCATAATATATCCTGGCACCTCTCAACAGAAATTTCTCATGAGCCATTGAAGAATTCCCAGATCTTTGCAACTGAGAGCCCACTAATACCTATTATCATTACAGTACTTGCCAGTATATTAGCAGGACCCTTATACTTGTGACATGTAATCTCCCTATTATAATTCATACTTGTTCTATCAGACATTCCCTTAAATCTGTCTTCCATTTTTTATTTCATTTATTTCCTCATATCATCACTTCTTGCCGTAAATATTTAAGTTGGTGTGCTACTTTTCAGCCCCAGGACCAAACTAGACTTACAGACACCATCTCTTACATGTTTGAGAAGGAAACTATACTCTACCCTTACACAAATTTGGGTGAAGTAAAGTGACCCTGTTTTTCTGATATAAGAATGACATTTAGTCAACTCTATACATCAAGGTTTGACCTTCTTAGTGATGTTATGGAAATTACAGAAAAGGTTTTTAACAATAAGTTTTGTTTGTTGCCTTTATGGATAGATATTTAGGCTTTTTTCCTTTACTTCATCTCAGTCTGGTATTAAGGTGCATTAATTAGTCTACAGTACTACTGGAAAGTTGCCCTGTTCTCAGATCTTATCACTTTGGCTTTTTGAATGATTAACTAAGAGGTCAAAAGTTCAACTCCATTGTCCTGGTATGTACATTGCTACTAGGAACAATGGCCCATCATAAACATGATTAAACCTATGTTTAAAGTCCTTTAATGCTGACTTACCTGAGATCAACAAGAAATCACGTCAAAAAGTAGTGATGATGATAGTTAATTATTACATCTGACTTACTTCATGCCAGAAAAAAGTACTCACTACTGCAGCTATATTAACAGTCTATATATCACCTCATTTAATCCTCACAGCTATATAGGGTAGGTTCCATTATTATGCCCACTGTGCAGATACCTAAACCGACTCAACCAGAATTAGTGCAAATAGGCAGGTGTAGTGGTACACACTTCTTGTTCCAGTACTTGTTTAGTAGAGGCAAGAGGATCAGGAGTCCAAGGCCATTTTCAGCTACATAGAAAGGTTGAAGCTAGGCTGGGCTACATAAAACCCTGTCTTGCACCCCACTCCACGAAAAAAAAAAAAAAACAGTGCATATAACTAGTTTTCTTTAAGCATGTCATACTAAAAGCTGCTGGAAAGCTTAGGGTTTCTTTTGCCTTGTTAAACACACTGTCACAGAACTTGTCGTATGCAAGGCTTTATTTCTAAGTGATTAAGCACACACATGCAGGCACAGACACATGCATACAGAACACTATTGACATTTATGAGGTACATACTATCATTATGCCCAGTTTGAACACAAGTAAACTGAGGAATGGACTGGTTACATAGTCTACCTGAGATTATAGAGCTAGTAAATTGTTGAATTTCGATGGCAACACAGACTGTATGGCCCCTCCGTCCATGCTATTATAATATTCTCAACTAGCACAGAGGTCAAAACTTGTGACCCACAAGCTCAGAATAACCTGAAAATGTACTTTATTTGGATTGGACAGTGTTTTTGTTTTTTTTTTTTTAATTTTTGGTATCAGAATTATTTAAGCTAAGCTAAGCAACTAAAGTTAATAAAATGTAAGCAGGAAAGTTTCAGTAAAATGAGCAATAGCTGACCTCTGCGTCTGGCTACAACATTCTATGAAGCCATCTTCACTTTGAAATCTTAAATGTTTTCTAAAGTTTTGTGTGCTTGTGTGTGTGTGTGTGTGTGTGTGTGTGTGTGTGTGTGTGATGTTTGGAGGGGTTGTTATGCCTAAGTCTTGAAGACCCCAAAGACCACCAAGGAGCTTGATTCTGATGCAAACACAGTAGGGGTCTTTTATTACAAGCTCGAGCTCGGGCCCACACTATCACTGATGTAGTGGTTCTCGAGTGCAGAGCCCCAAGCTCAGGGAGAGAGAGTTTTTTTTATTTAGGGTTACAGCGAGGTTCAGGGAATTCCAGCTTGGCAGTTTTATGACTGGTTGACATTTAGCAAATATCAGGTGTCCAGAGGGCCAAAATGTAATTGTTTTACTCATTCTATTGCAAAAAACATCTGAGTAAACTTCAGTTATTCCCTGATTAGCTGTCGCTAGGGGTGATGTTTAATCATCATCATTACCAGAGGTGAGTGGTCAAAGCATATTTTTGTGGGTTTTTCTCCTTTTTGAAACTGGAGTTTATGCCTAGGTCATTTAACCTTAAGACGAAGTTTATTTTTTAGAAATGGGGTTACACAGGCCTCACACTCCCCCACTTCTCATGGTCATGTGAAGGCCCAATCATGGGTCTTCCAGATATGATCCCTTGGTGTCCTCCAGATTTACCCTTCCATAGTGGGATCTGAGTACCATTAACTGTATCACTCCCGAGGGTTCCTTTAAAAAAGCTACCATGTATTTTAAAATGTAAGGCCCAAAGGTAAAAAGGAAAATCAAGATGAGTGGGGGTCCCTGCAGGGTGGATATAAGGGTAGTAAGCCAAAGGGAATTATTATACCAGGATTCAAACCATCTTCTAGAATCCTCTTTCTCTTTCCTGAGTTTCTCTAGACTTTGTCTTACTCTTGCTGAGGATAACCTAATCACTCCTGAGTGGTTTACATAAGAGCAAAATTCCTCTCTTAAGGCTGTCACAGACCCCTGCCATAAAAACAACAAATCTAAGCCTTTTTTGTTTTGTAACTTCTGCCAGGGAATCAACATTCTTTTCTAAATGGGTGATTAAGTTCTCAAAGAGTTGAATATCTTCATCAATATTTGCCTTTAAGCTGTTACAATTCCGGCTTTGTACAACCAGTGCTTGCAATACCTGTTCCTGCTCAGCTAAGCCAGTCCCCAAGATAATAGCTAATGTCAGAGATAGAGGTTCTCTGTCATATCTAGCCAGTGTACCCCGGTGAGTTCCTGGACCACCTCTTCTTCAGGGTGGTAGGTAATTCATGGGACTAGTTGGACTAGCACATAGAAATATTGAGTAAGCTTAACTACTGTTCCATTGACACATGGGGCCAAACCTGTGGAGCGTGCCAACGATGCCTGTACTGAAGGCACCAGATATGTGGTTGTCTGGTCAGAGGACAATTGCAGCGTATGATTACAGAGATGCTGATGTAAGGATAGTACATGTTCCACACATAAATCTTTTCCTGTTGCTGACTGAAGGGTGAATCTCCCTTTATTGCCATCTGCACCCATTGGGGTTGGTGGAGAAGTTGATAGTGCCATTAAGAACAA